ATCTTTTCTCTTTCTCTCTCGTCTCGCTCATATATGGTTGCTCACTCATACACACACAAAATAATTATCTATGGGTTTCCCCGTCGACTCTCGAGTCGGTTCGCAATATTTGTCTCGGCGTCTGCTCGCGCGGAGGAAAGATTCATAAATTATTTATAAAGAATAACCGTGACACGGCCGCGCGCGCATTTGTTCATCTAAACGTAGTTAAGTTTACAAAGGTTTTACATTACGGAAACGCTACGGAAAGAACGGTATGTGTGTGTCTTCCTGATGTCCTAATCGGTGGTATTGAGCAAAGTGCCGTAATTACGTACTTGTTAGACTTACTCGGTACGAATTAGAAATTATACGTATTATACGAAATTATCCTCCTATTGGTCGTTTATGCTACTTAACAGTAGACTATCTGGCGGTTACTTGCTGCGTTATTGCTGCTAAAATTTATGTAAAAGGGAACTGCGCCTCATTCTCTATGTATGATTATCAGTTAATCGTAAACTTCTTTTTTTTTTGTATTTTGACAATTTTCACTGTGTTTGCTAGATCTCTCGGGATAAATGCATGCTGATAGCTTTATTTCAAGGGAAAAAAAGGAATTCGCCTTTCTGAATTGAGATTCGAACGCGGCGGGGGACGTACAGCCAACGATATACTTTTAATTAATGACTAATTGTAAGTTCATTAAACTCATGTTTTTTTTTCTTGCGTTGCAAAAGCATGTTTTTTGTCAAGAGTCTAGTTCTTTGACAGTTTGTGCGGACGAAAATCCCGTAGTTCGTGGAACAGCGCCGCGAGTCGTCGAAGGCATCGATTGTTCTCACAAATGTGTATGTACGCGCGTGTGTGCTTTCGCGTTAAGAGTGTTTAGTACGTATTGAAAAATTTCTCGTAGATGTACAGTCCACGCTAGACTACGTTGTTGCTTCTTATCGTCTTCGCTCTATGGATCTATCCTTCCGATACTGCTACTTATTTAAATGCGATATTAACAAAGTCGTAAATCGGACAATCTCGGCGCGCATCTCTCTCGACGAAATGCGCACGCTTTTCTCATCTCGCGATGTCTCGCAGTTTGTTCGATTAAAGCGGTATGACGGTCGATTGAGCTATTAGATAAATGTTACCTTACTATAAATTTTCTAAACTATAAAAGCGTTTACAAGACTATGTGTGATTTGTAACAAGGTACGAAATTAAAAATTTATATTACCAAAAAGTTTCGGTGAACCCGTACATCTTCTCGAGGCTCTGGATACATTTCTGAAATATCTCTTACAAAGTATCTGCCTTTTCTGTCAAGGAGCATGTCCTGTCGTGTAGCTAAACTGACTATTATATCGTTTTAATGAATTGTTGAGCGTAACGAACCCACGTCTTCGACTCGCAATAATCGTACATGCGACTTTCTCTGACGATACATTTTCTCCTTTCTGCGACGCGCCCCGATTTTTTTTTTTAAGATGGAAGCACGAAATGTTTCACGAGGCCCGCGGAAAATATCACAGCCCTGAGAGAAGTCACGAAACTATCCGCGACGCATCCAGGAGTTTCTTGGTCGTATAACTATTTTGAAAGTGGCGTAAGTTTAAGTTTGATGTAATCCTAAATTCCGGAATATAAATCCGTGCGATCTGCCTCTACGAGTGTTCTACCTCTGAAAACTGTTACACGCCATTTTCAAAACGAACGGCTTGTAATATTAGCGATAGCTTCCGACGAGTATAGGTCGCGTTACGCGTTGCAAGTGAGTCTGTTAAATCAACATTTTGTTCTCAAAGCACTTGTGGCTATAGGACGATTCAGGACGAAGGTTCGTGCGATCGTAGCAGCGATGGAACTCGAGCGAAATTGTGCGAAGTAACGTAATAGCCAATCTATTACGCTTCGAGAAGCTTGTCTATGCGGATATATAAAAATGTATCGGTATTGCAAATTATCTTAAAGAATTCTGTCGAATTTATCAATCGGATCGTCAACATTTTTACATTTTTGCTTATCGTTTACGAAACTGAGAATGTCATAGACGTGAGTCAAGGTGTTCGTAAAGTCCAGTATAACGGCTTGGCAGTGAATTAATATCGGCAACGAATCGTATTACATACGCATCTTAAGCATAATTCAAGCAGCGCGTCGAATAAATTTCGAGAATAGCCGATATTCTTTGGCGATGCGAGTCAGTTAGAAGCATTGTTATTATCGATAGCGTGTATCTGGACAGGTTATTTGTATCTTATAGAAAGTAGCGAGTGAATTTTGGAAAGATTACAAATGGAATCGATGCGCGCGATTAACAGAAAATTTCGTTTCGTTGCGTTGCTATCAATTACAAAAAATTTGCCATAAAGCGAGCGGTTTTTTCTTTCTTCTTTTTATTGACGCGTGGGAGCTATAATACCTTGGCGCGCGAAGCTTTAATGAATCGTTAGAAATTTAATTATCTCTCTCGCACTCTTCAATCTTCTCTCTTTAGAGATTTCGTTATATTCGCACATCATAAGTGCACTTGTCTGATTCGATATTCATGTATAGGGCGTTTCAAAATCACACTGACAGACACCATTGGTGGCGAATTCATTGACGAATTTGGAGTCGTTCCATCTTAAAAACTATCGAAATATTAATAATTTCTCACAATTATAAGCGATTGGATATGAGTAATCTTTCATACATTATCTTTGAAAAGTACAAACAAGTAACGAAATCTTATTCTACATTTAATCTTAAGTGAACTTTAGGAAAAGCTTTTATTTAATGCTTATTTACGTATTTAATGTTGCAAATTAAGAAAGGGTAGAAAATTTTTTATCCAGCTATGTTTCTCTCTATTGTGGAAAGATTAATTGCAAAATGCTAAAAAAATTTATAAATATCAATCTGTTGGAGAATTTAAAAAAGCTTTTACGATTCAGAGTAATGAAAAAAGAAAAAAATATAAATTTTGGAGGAAAGATCTTTTCGAAGATGATTGTATTTAAAAGGGACATATAAGCTGAATAAAAATAAATTGAAACGAAAGTATACAGGCAGTACAAATACCTATTAACTTTTACGATTCTCGTATATAACGTGGAATTGAATTCAAATATTTCTTAGAACGCGCAGGATATTTTTAATATAGTATAGTATCGTTAATTCATCTAAAAATTATAAAAGTGTGGCTTATCTCTTTGGTTGGTGCATGACAGTGATGTCATTTACGATCGTTCTCTGGTCGAAGTATAAAGAACGATGTAAATGTGACGCTTAAGATGATATTCCGTTCGAACTATTTATATTTCGGCTTTTAGTTTAAACGCAAGAAATCTTACGAGATTAATTACGCAGAGCTGTCACAGGCAAATTCATATTCTTGTACATTTAACGCTAGATATGGCTGCCTGGTTCTGATATTTATTAATTTTGTATATGAAGATCGTGTTGCACGTGCTGGAAGCATGATATGAGAATCAGCCGACCATAAATGGTACTAAATGTACGCTGAGAATATGACCTTTCTTTCCTTTCAATAAAATTTCTGCGAGAATCCTTCCGATCACCTTTGCGATTAGCATAATAAACTTAGATAAGTTGAGCGCGTAACAAGTATTTTTGCGAATTTATCTTAACGAGTTAAAAATTGCAGCTTATAAAGTGAAATTATGAAATGATTCATACTTTCAAACTTTTATGTTTTCTGTGTTTTTTTTTTAATTATTTTAAAATAGAATATGCAGCACGGTGTATGTAAAGTATACGCTTCAACGTAGTGTAGGTGATGCAAATTGCGAAATAATGAATAAGTGTCCGGATTATTAAGTCAAGTTTGAAGTCTAGACGGAAATGCCTGACAAATGATCGCGAAATTATGCCGAATAATTTGCAAGCGTGGAAGAAGCACTGAGAGTTAAAAACAATCATTAATCTTTCTTTAATATTATGAGGTTACTAATTCGTGTTTAATATCACAAAATTAATAAAGGCGTCATTTATAAGAGGCGGATAATTATTTCTCAAATGCGATCGCAATTTACTGCCGTTAACGGCGCCGGCGTTCGAGATCTCCTTCCAAACGACAGGCGAACGGACTCACTCGTCCCAAAGGTGTCTCCGAAGGATCCTCGACGCCATTAATTTCGAAGGACCGGTCGCATTCCCGCGCTGAATCTTCGTCTCTCGTTAAGGCGCGACGGAGTCCCTGAAGTAAAAGTCGGCAGTTCTTTCGGTGTAGATTGGTCGGTCGTTTCCGTTGGAGTTTGCCTTCTTATGGATACGGATCCTTTGGCGATTCGGGGCACGCGTCCTTACAGGCTCCAATAATACCGCGGCACCCGCAGGATCTTCGGCGATCGCGCAAAGTCGAGAAATCCCGGCACGATTGTCCTGAAAGAGGATCAGGACGCGCCGTAGACGCAGGCCGAGTTGTCCGGTGGACTGATCTTTTCCACAGGTAACACCGCCGCTCTGTGCCACTCGTCACGAACCTATTACCAGAAAAGATAGTGATTACGAACTGCAGCAAGATAAGAAGTGGAGAACGAAATCGATCTACGTTTGATACCATTTTTGAAATTTCTTTTCCAGCAAAAAATCAATCTTTTGAAAAGATAATACGTGGAGTTGTAGCATCTACTGTAAATTTTCATTTTTCATTAATTCTTTCATTTCTCATTCTAATTTTTTATTTGATTTGCTTGAAAAGCCAAGTTTGCTATTTTAATTTTTCTTTATGTCGTCTCTTTATTCCGAGCGTGAAAATAATTCCAATAATGAAGTTGCGAAAACAAGAGCCAAGGTTGTAACGCGTTCAATTAGCTTTGCGCGTGTGTAACAAAGAGTGTTAAAACTTTAACAACCGTCCAATAACGCTGATAAATTCAACGCGCGCGCGCGCGATAAACCGTAGATATCCGGAATTACGTAGTCCACCGTCGCGTAGGATTACGTGTTTTTCGTTCGAGCTAGCAAAAGCGCTTTTCGTTTACAACCGTCGTAAAAGAAACGGCGCTTTGTTAGCCGATTAAAAACGAGCATCGCCGTACCTGTTCGACTTTTGCGAATACCCTCAGCAAGTTGAGGCCGGCTAGTTTCTTGATGTCTTCTTCCGTCCATGTAGGATCCTCCAGCAAGGTGGCCAATAGTTGCGGATACCTCGAGACATCTTCTAAACCCGTGGGAGTGCTACAAAAAAGGATAAATCTCGTGAGGATCAAACGATCTTATTAACTTAGCTGGTTCGAGGTAACACTCAGAGAACGACGATATAAGTTTTCTGTGCTCGACGCGTTACTTTCATGTTCTTAAAAGAACATTGTAACAATAAACTGAATAAGGATTGAATCGTTTGTTTTGAAGACGATATGAATTATATTTTTAGCTAATCTGAGTTGATAGATCTAATAATAAAACTGGTCTTCAATACTTTCACTTCTGGCCTCGATATTGTATTCATAATTGACATATGTCCCACGCATTATTGCAGATGCACAAGCCTTTGTGATTCCACATTAGTTCTGAACAGTCTGATTATTATTATGAATAAATTGAACTTGGAGATAGAAAATAACCGTGTACAATTAGCTAGTTTAAAATTATAAGTTTAAAATTATATAACATTTCTGTTTGACTAACATGTTTTAGTGATTTTATGAGCAATGTTCCGTAACATGAATATAAATTAATTTTGTTTTTGTGCCCAATGAAAAGGATAAGTAAAAGTTATATTTTGAATGTTAAACCGAAGTAAATTTTGAAATAATTATTGCGACAAAAAAAAGAAGCATGGAAAGTTGTGTTAGCAACGATATATTTTATAATACTATGCATTACAAGAACCATGATTAGGCGCTTTGTGAAAGTTTTATAGCTGTAGAACAAAAGCAGTTCCTTGGGCATTGTTTCTTGCGTCCCTCCATAAAATTAACCTCCCGGGACTCACGCGCTTCTCCAAACAAGCGAAGCAATTATCCCGAGTGTTATAAAAGTGGAACTCTCTGTAGGTTAAATACATATTTACGTCGGGCTCCAGATTTATTGTGGCTTTGTACCTTTCGACGAGATTAATCATAAACGTTATTGAACGAAATTACTTATATGTGGCAATGTCGCGCGCGTGTTGTCTCTGAGTGTTTCTGCCTCGCGAAAACAGATATGGTGAAAGAATAATTACAAATTTATCCCGTCGAAACCCGCTCCGATCCCAACGTGATCAATTCCCGCTACCTTTCGAATATGATTGATGTGTGCTGAAACAATATAGGGCCTTGATCATTCTGTCCTGGTTGGCAGCGCGTCGCAAAATATCTTAATATATAAAATATTTTAATATAAATGCATGCACGTTTGCCTGTGGGAATAAAATGGGGAATAACGGCGGTTATGAGGTAACGCGTTTACGAGATCGTCATGCATGCATGGGTGAAATAAAATGTTTTGTTATTGTCGGGACAACGTATCTCCTCAAATATTTGCAAGCGTTAAAGTGGAAGCAAGAATATATGTATATCCCACTTAAAAAATGACTGAGCAAGATGAATTGCAGGATTCTTGCAATATTCAGATACGTGTTTGTTCCTCGTTCGAGAAATGTCGGACACATTTATTTATTTCGTTTTAATTTTACATCTTTTTACGGAGCATGACTCCGAAAATTAAATTCACAATGGAAAACGTGTCGAAATGACGTACAATATAATACGTGTGTAGTAATTACGCGTCTGTCACATGCAATATCGATACGGGATAATTTATTTCCGGGGTGTAGCTTAGCACAGTTTTGCGAATAGCGTTGCACGTACCAATAACGTCTTTTATAGTAGCGGTGCTGTTGCATGTTATGAAGTAGGTATAAAAAGGGACCATCGCCACTCCGCCATTCTTAGCCTGTGAACAGATGCATTAATGTCATATACGCTGTGCGATCGTATTTCTTTCGATCTTTAAACGTTTGACACGAAAATACATCGTGCAGTCATTTGCAGTAGAGCCATAATGTACATTATCCCACTACTGAAATTTATTCGCGAGAGAATGGCCGTTTAAAACCTTAATGGCCACTCTTTAGAAATATCCATGGTCTAAAATCCGATATAAAAATGAATGAAAAATTTTATTAATTTAATTTGTTCATGCAGATTGTTGCAGTTGTAAAATACACTTAAAGATTCACGCGGATAATGTTATTGCATCAAAGAAATCGACGTTTCAGAAAATAAATAGTTAATAAATTACAGTTATAAAAGATATCATCAAAAGAGAGACTAATCACACAACAATATAATCAGTTTAAAATAATTCGTTTAACAATAATTTCTTCATTAACTCAAGTTGTTGTTTTTTAATCAACTGAACGCGGAAGCTATCAGGGAAACTGTTTCAAGGAACACGCAGTTGTCTATTTGATACCTATCCTCGCTTAAACTGCATGGGCAATGTTAATTAGGGCAGCAGGACGACGCGGTTAATAACACGTTACCGGACAAGCCATCCGGCTTAGATCGCTGTTACTCATCCTCTCGTTCTGCGGGTATAATTAAGGGAATATTGATCGCCCACGGAGAGAAAGACAGAGAGAGAGAGAGAAGAGAATGAAGTTCGTGGATATGAAGATGTTAGGTTGACTTCAAGAAATCGAGGGAAATGTCGGTTAATTAATTAGTATCCGTCTTGCTCTTCGAGGATGGTTAACAATATTTCACGCGTACTATCTTGCAAACTGAACGTGTGTTTCAAAAGAATTGGTGAACGAAGCAATATGAATTTTCCAGAATAAAGTATTAATATAAAGCATTAGCTAGTATTAAGGTATTAGAACAGATTAGCGCCAAGTTAGTCAAAATAAAAAGTTTTCCGCTCAGAACCTTAAGAGAGTCCCAAAGTGGATCGTAATATTATAAAATATTAATACGTTATCAGTGTAGCTTTTGCTACTTATATCTTTCATAATTTATCATTTATTTTATATTTTCTATCTTTTATATAATTTAAGTTTCTTTTTCTAGATAATAAAACTTTTGATTACATGGTTATTAATTCTTTATATAACTATAGATTAGAACTTTCAACTTATGCTACAGTTTAGAATTTTGTATGGGTCCAATGACTCATATAAATAATGCTACATAGTGTAAAATGGTGCATAAAATTTGCATCGCATATCCCTCGCGATAAAGTTCGAAATGCCGAATTAATCGGCAATAAGTTGAATTTACTTTCGTTAGCTTAGAGCTCTTTGAGCTCATCGTTAGTTCGTCAATCGTCAATCGTTAATCGACGAGCACGCGGCACGAGAATGGGATGAAATTTTAATGAAGCGTCGCGTTTAAATCCTTACTCGACCAACTGTTACGATTAATGAAACGTCAATTATCGTACCGCGTTTATGCCTCTCGCGAATTTAATGGGCGAGGAAAAATTTCGGTGCTGCGGTTCAGAGGGCGAGATTAGCGCCAATTGGATTAACGCCAATTCGCGGTGGTGGCGGTGTGAGCAGAATTATCGATAATAACGCGGATTAAGCCTCTCGAACTTCTAACACACTCGATGCTATTTTGGCGCGTTGTTTCCGTCGCTCGAAATCGTTTTGACATTTCTCCATTCCCGAGCTTCGTTCCTTCGTCCACATTACGAATAGTTTGCAATTATCTCGTTACACAAACACAAACAATTTGCGCGCTCGATGTTACACTTTGTGTTTGATAATACAGATCCCGATGTTCTTGCACGTTTCCACCGATTCGCGCGCGTTTTACAACTTCGCGGATTGCAAACTACTCTCATATCGCGTTCGATTTGCACACGGCTGGCCTGACTTCGCTTGTACGCTACGAATTTAATTTCGACGTTACGCATCTCACTTCCAGATATCAGATCTGTCGATAAAACTTGCGTTTAATCACTCGGCACTGCGCGCACACTTTCGTTTTGCTTTCGGATCATTTTTATTTCCTTTTACATGCACTCGAACGATCGCGATATATAAATAAAGCGGTTGTCGGCAGCTATTTATTTCGCACGTATGTTTTATTCCTTCTCGTATTCGAATTCGATCGTATATATTTTTACTATCATCATATATTTTATTATATCTTTACATATGTTTTTCGTTATATTATTACTTCAGTATTATTTTCTTTCTAATTATAGCTTTGCGTCAAAATTGTAATTAATTAGAATATTTAAATAAATTTCTGACGAGACTATTTTGCATCGCCACGTAAAATCGTTAATGTTCATGAGCACATTTACAGCGTAGAGCTGCGGATATTTTATTGCCCGCTGCTTCTCAAATATTACACATATCACAATTCCGCAGGGTAGTTGTCGCTCACCAATACTAAACCGCACCAAAACCGAGCTTCAGGGCGACCTGGTTGGTCAGCGGCATGTATGTACGCCAACCCGAAATCAAATAATCTCGGTATGGTCGAACAAAGGCCGCGGCAGCCAGCAACTTTCATGCGCGCCGGTTTACATTTTCGCGAGTGTTCGCTTTGATTTTCTCTATCCGTCTCTTGTAAGCGCGGCAGCAGAGAAATATCTCATTCGTTTTCTGTACGCGAGCGCTCGCACTCCGCACAGTGTTTTCTAACTGACCGACGACGCGCGCGGTATCGCGAGACCTGAATAAATAAATAAATAAATCCCCCTTGTATATATTGCAATCGACGTATCGCACTTTTTCTTCTCGCAACAGCGCGGTGTTTCCGTTTAACTCGCTACCTGTTTCCACAAAGAGCGGAAGGTTTCTAACTGATCCGTTTACTTTTTATCTTTTCCCCCCTTTTTGTAAGCGCAATCCGATTGGATTCGGGTATCCGTGTTTATGCTACGCGGGGAAACTCACCAGATTTCTGAGCACGTCGTCCGGCACGTTTCTGGTAGAATTGCACAGCGCTCTGGCAGCGCTGTGCGAGAAAATCACCGGCGCCCTCGTCGTCTGCAGGGCCGCCCTCATCGTTCTTGTCGAGACATGCGAGAGATCGACCAACATGCCCAGCCTGTTCAATTCCCTGACAACTGCCTGCAGAATAATCAAATACGTTAAAGTCATATTTATCTGCGTAAAGTCACGTATGGCTATCTTATGAAATAAATAAATGAATTAAGAATTTCGAAAGGACTATGCTAGTAGAATTTTCTATAGAAAATAAATTGCAAATTTAAGTAAAAAATACTATGAAAATAGGTAAATAAAGTAGGCAAAAAGAAGATGCTGTACAACGTTTTAGGACTTATTGTTAACTTATATTTTACACTCGTTACTATTTTTCAGCTATACCTGATGCATTAACTTTAAAAATATCCTTCAAATATATATTCAAGAATAATGCTTCAAAAAGAAAATATTTAGTAACGGAAGCAAAGTATAGGAATCAAAGTATTTCGTAATTCCGAGAGCGAAATGTTGGACGGAGTGATGGGTTTGGAAGGTGCGTCTGTTACGGCGTAAAAACACGTGGAAAGGGTCGATCGGAAAGGATGAGAAAAATATCATGGGAAACGGGGGAAACGCCGGCGTTTCGACTAGCGAACATTAGCCGGGAACGCAAGCAACCGCCCATTCCATCATGTGATAGCGGAAAAAGCTTCGATGTATTGGCGGTTGGTCGAAGAGTGCTGGGCTCGAGCTTAATATATTTGCGGCCCGCTGCCGCCGTAAATGTTAAATCACTTTTCCTTATCTTGGAAATGGAGTGAGTTTAATTTTGAGGAACGTTGCGAGTTCCAACGGGATTATAAATTGGCGCGTCAATTTCGTTCAATTTTCCAGGTTTAGCTTGACCTATATCGCTTTTTTAATTAACGAATCAGTTAATTAACCTTTAAAATACGGGATTGCTAAAAATAATTAGCAAATTAAAATTGGAAGATCTGATTGCTTCTCTTTGTTATTCTATCCATTCTTGCTCTTTCAAACATTAATTTTCGAAAACACGACTCTTATGTTTCTACGTACTACGTATTTTCTACAAACGTCTCGAGCAAATTTCGATAAATATAGTCCTGTCGACGCGAACGGAAAAGGAAACGGAGCGAGGTAGGTGGAAGAACGAATCACAATGGTCTCGTTTTTCCAGCATTAAGGGTGAGGGCTCGCTTTTCTCGGCCCGCACACGATTTCATGCGAATGATGCGAGTCTCGTGCGTCGATGGTAGAAAACGACGTCCATTGTTTTTGCGGTGAGATGGTCTTTGATATGCGTCGTTTTTTAGCGAGGCAGACAATTATGCGAATAAAGAACGATTTCTTATTAGCATTATATAACTTCTTGTTAGCGTTAATAACCAAGCGAAAAACAAGCTAAAAAAACACTGCTTGTATGGAAAATAGTGCGAAAACATGCAAATGTCGCTCAAGTCGCGAACAAGTAGAACGGACAGGTAAACAGTTGGAAAATTTTATAAAGCTATAGCATTAATAAAAATCAGGGCGTATTATTTGAATGACTTAACGTATGTAACCATAGCGTATATAAATTTTAATTTCCGCTTCGCAATAATCGCTAAATCTTTCGATCCATTCAGATTTAATTACGATACTTTTCAAATTAATAGCATCGCGTAATCGATTCCGCTGCATTCGACATTATTTCCAATCTTTCGCGAAAATCGAGAAAAAGAAATCGGTTTTATATGTCGTCTGTATCCCCCGGCGGATGAAACGGCGAATTTTCGCGGTGTAATCCCGATGCCTGTTGCTGGGTATCGAACGCGCGACGGGACTAGGTGAAACTAATCGTCACATCTAAAAGCCGCAATAAAATCAAGCTCACGTTGCAACAAATACAACACCGCGAGCTATCGCCATAATTTCACGATATATCACCGTGTCACGTTAACACGGTGGTCCAAGATCGTGCGTGTGTGCGTGCGTGCGTGCGTTCATGCGTGTATTCGCGCACCTGATGAATGGACACCGGAAAATATGGGTCGTTCAATAGAAATAACAGGCCAAAGGAACAAAGAGCGTAAAGGGTAAAAATGTTCGTCGAGTTGCGCATTCGTCCGCACACGCGGCGCAGTCAAACTCATCTCTTCGCCGGAATAGCGTATGGCTGTCCGTCGCCGGAAATGCATGCCGGTATTTACAACGGCATGACATTATGGAAGGCTGAACTGTACAAGGAGACACGAGCACGGAATTTTCAGATAATTCTGTTTGTCTTTCCGAACGAGCTATGGCGTCGCGACGTTTCCATTTGAAACGACACGCGAAATTCGTTGAAACGTATTTTGCCAGATGTACAAGCGGGTGGTTCCGATAGGCTTAGATCTCGAGGTAATGAGTTACTCATTTATAATTCTGTTCAATTACCAACATTTCAAGTTGTCTGCCGTGCGCGACTGCGAAGGCTCGTTTCTTCCTTTCGTTTACATTTCGTTCACTTTCGTGTAACGCGAAAGCAGAGAGATTTCTCTCTCTCTTCTTCGAACAGAAAACCAAACTAAAGCACACGAAGTGGATTATTGTCTCTGATAAAAATATTTCGGTATCGCAGATAGAGAGAAAGGACGATATTACTTCCGGGACTTGTAGATTATCGGAATTTCGTGGCGAAATGTTCGCCCGATGCCAGGCTACCAGCAATAACACTTTTGTACCGCCGGTGTTTCAATATAGCCAGCGGTGTGTTGCGACAATCGAGACACGCCAGGCAACACGACTTTTCGTTTGCGTAGCAAATAGAACACGGTTGATATCGCGCGTACAGAAAATTCTTTTTTCCGAGTAATTTATTGTAACCGTGGCTCAACCATATTTACCGTTTTTCGATAGTCAGTTGCAATATATGTGTTGAAATGACGCAGCTGAATTGGCGCGATATCCGTTAATTAAGCTTTCTATCTTCGCTTTCCAGGAAAGAATAAATTATACGTAAATAATGCAATGAAATATAGGAAATGCAGAAGTACCGGGATCGTATATGATAAATAAAAATGATTAAAACTCCGGACCATGATATTTGGAAAGACGTTACCGCGTCAGCGAATTATTTCCAATTGCCGAAAATTTTTAAATGGAATATCTGTTTAACACTTCATGGGCGAATGTCAATGACAAACTGCGGAGCATTTAGCGTTGCGCATAAAATTTTTCTTCGGAAGACCTGTCATTTGTTAATGTGAGATTTAGCTGTTGCAAGGGATGCGATAATGGAGGGACGAGATAATGGAGGTGATTCGTTTGATTTACGTTCTCACGCGTCTCCCTCGTTCGTTTACCTCCTCCTTATTTCTTCTCCTCTCCATTATTCTCGCTATTTCCTCTCATTTTTTCTTCTTTTAATCGATCGAATACCGCTGTTGCCGCAAGATTATAAATTTCGACAAAAACTCAATCGATGCGAAACGATCTGACGAGGATTCATTTCTTTCGGGAGGGTTTTTTTTTTTTTTGACAGATTTCGGAATTCACGCGGCGCGAGAATGGCAGAAATTCGCTTCGTCGAGATCACCGAACCTGTGCGTTAACGCTCGAAATCCCTCGACGAATTCTACACGCGCGAAAGTGGGTCGGGATATAATTTTATGAACGCGGTGGAGCGACGGGAGTGATAAACGGAATGTAGGTCGGACGCGATCAGTCGCGCGTTCGTTGACGATCATTTCCCCGGTTACGTCGTGGAAAAATAATTCGAGCCATCGAGATCGTGAAGCCGCGATCTAAATCCCGCTACGAAAATTGGGAACGTCCCTGATGTAATGTGCCGTCGTGACGTCTCGTTTATATAGATATTCCGGAAGGGTAAGCCGTTGGGAAATTTTAACAATACAAGTGCGAAGTGTTAGTAGAAATTAGTGCATGGATATTATCTTATCGGTGTATTTATACACTTTGTTCGCTAATAGATGATTTAAACGCTAAATTTGCCAATTCGGATAACAGTATTATTTGTCATAATTTGCGCGTAAATATATCATAAAGAGAAACAACTTCAAATTACTTTGAACATTACTTATGCTTTAACGATATAGGATATTCTCTGGTCTCAGGTTGATATCACTATTTATTAGGGAACATTTTATTTTCGCAAAAAAGCTGAAAATGTTTAATGCAATATTCGCGTTATAACGTACGGAGCTCATAGCGAAATTATAATCTGAACTGTCGTGCGGTCGTTTCGCGGAATAATGCCGGGACGCGTCTTGGCCGGAAGTCTGCAGTATTATTTTTCTGCAGAATGTCGCGCAGCTCCGTTCGCAGCCATAAAACGGAAACTCTTTCGGAAGCGTGTATGTACACGCGGGCATTTTTTTGCGAACGCGATATTTCCCTGTTTAGTGAAAAAGGTAAATCCGCAGTGGAGCGTACAATGTAAATGTTGACTCACTTTCCCAAATTCGCTGAGGCCCGGCGTGGAGTCCTGAGTATTGTTCGTCTCGCCAACAGAACAGACTGCCCTGCCAAGAAAATGTCTGTTAGAACGTCGGTTTGCGTCTCTCGCCGCAAAAATCCAGCGGTCGCGCTGCATGCTCGCGCTTGCTTTCTCTTCCCTCGGACGAGTTTCGGACGAGAGAATGGAGCGAACAAAATTTTCTGAACTATCAGGTTATAAAGCTTCTAAACTCATACATATTTATTATGCGTATACATATTTCATGATCCATTTAGTGTGAAATAAATCGAATTCCCGATCACATGTGACACGACAAATTGTCAATCGTGAAAGCGTATTCATCATTAATAGAAAATAAATAAATTATTTTATACTCTATTTTGTCACATTTCAAAAATACCTATTTATTTATTTGATATTATATAGAATGTTAAGTGTTAACAATGAGTTTTTCTATAAAGTCTGTCCAAAACTCGATAAACATATGATAATCTCCATTCAGCTTTAATATCTATGATTTTTGTAATAATACATTTTTAGATCTGATCAGTAATGGCTTAGGTATGCGCTGAGAACTGAGAGATTCAAACTCCTTTCTATTTGTGCTCGAATAGGCATATCCGAGAAGCGTTGGGTCAAGTGATTTAGGTCAAATGTGCACAAACTCCGCTTTCGGGGTTGCGTACTTCGTTATCATATACGTTGCCTTTAGAATCGTTAAAGCAATCTGAAGCTCATTCGAGTTTCGCGTAACTTTTCGGAAGTAGCGTGTTTTCATTTATCTATTTATTACGGTTAATTCTTACTATCTACTAGAGACAAATTTATTGATAATAAGAAAAGTTTCGAAATATCTTGAGATATAATAAAAGCAATCTTATCTTGAGATCACAAATATCTAATAACCGTATAGATGTGTCGTTTTAATAGCATGTCATTTAATGTCACTTAATATGTCATTTTTATTATTTTAATGGCAGATTTTTCCTAAATAACTTTGACATTTTCTCAATAATTATATAAGAGACTATTATCGATTGCAACTTTTTCAATTTTCTCGATAAATATCTTACAATTAGCAATTATAACTTTACTGTAAATATCTGTTAAAATAAATACTACTTGCAATTAATTGAAAAATATAACATCTTGTTATCTATATTTACTTCTAACGCTTAATAATTTTCGTAACTAAACATTTGCATAATTTTAATTTCTGTTAAAAAAAATGTAAGCTTTTAAATTCGCCAAAGAAACCATTAAGATTCGTTTTGACTGTTAATGAAGTTTGTGTTATTTCTATCTACTGCTGAATAGTGGAATACGCCCAAAATATCGAGGAAATAAAGGTGGAAAGGTTAAAAAAACAAGTAGTATAAAGGCGCGAATGATATTGAGAATCCGATAATTCTTCACGGTCGATTCTCGCTTCCAGACGTGGAAACGCCAGAGATGATTCGGCGTCGTCATCTAGAACTGTAGAAAATTCAATCGGGTCGACAATCTCGCGTCCCTAGGGAGGAGAGGGAGGACACGCGACAGAAATGGAAAAAGACGAACAGAGATGCGAGAGAAAAAGAGAGAGAGAGAGAGAAAGAGAGAGAGAGAGGATAGGGTCAGAGGCTGACATTAAGCCCCGGGTACACGTCCGAAAGCAATTCGGATATTGTCCCAATAAAAGCACGCTTTTCCTCATGGATGCCGGAAATCTCAGGCCGCAGAGATGAAACCGCATTTTTAGGATGAGTTTTCTTCAGATGTTCTCCCTGTGGTAGGCTTCTCTCATAGACGTGCACTTTTCTGAATGTCCCAAATCGCTTGTTCTTTTGTGACTCAGCTAGGCAATTATTATTATGTCTCCTATTACAAAAAGTTGCACATTGTCCATTGTTTTTTTTATTACGACTTATTTATAGCGTTATTGCAAAGACGTGTGTAAATTTCTTTAAAAAAATTACTTGGATTTAATTTCAATAATTCTTAGAACAAAGCATTAAGTTTCAGAAAATCTAGTGTAATTTAACTTTAAAATTGATATAATAGGAAAAGTACAAACTGTATAAACTTTAAGTGTGTTATTATGATTTTTATCTTTTACATTTTTTCTCAAGAAACCTCGCGATTTATTTTATTATGTAGACATTTCTAATATCTGTATTTTTATTTGAGTAACACTTCCTTCGATGTCGAACAAGAATTACCTCCCGTGTCATGCGTATCAAGACGACATCGACATAATTTTGGAGAAAGGGGAATTTTGTAGATTAGATGAGAAAAATACTATCCGAAAGAAGATTTGCACGTCGAGGGGTCTGACGCGACTCCCGATTCTTATTTACTGCAGTAAGCGTCGCGGCGTCGAGGGAGACATAAAGCAGGCGAACATCGGAAAGAGTATGGCGAATCGGGTCGGTGCCCATTGTCGTATAATACTTCGGCCTTAAACCGGCGTTAGAGTTAGTAACATTGGCGGTCACCGTCGTAATTTACATCCCGAAAACTACCGGGGCATCCAGCATCGCTCTCCTCGAGACGTAAATCCTATTTTGCGTGGCAGGGAACACAGAATGAGATTATTACATTTCGAGCATGATTCCTCGCGCTCATAAAAGATACAGTGAGCAATGTGGGTATATACGGTTGACGAATGCGGTTGACAATCTCTGAAATTCGGTTGATAAAAGAGGTAAAGCGGATGTGAAAAATGTAACAAATAGAAAAATAAAATCGCGAGAAATATACTTTTGAATTTTTGGCATCATCCCGACTTCTTCGGCGCGGCCATTTAATGAACGTTCCCAAGCTTCGTGAAGAGAAAAAACAACTAGAATGTTTCAAACTTTAGTTTCCGGATTATGAATATTATTATGCTGAAAAGATAAAAAAAAAACTTGGCGAAGTTCGAGAGGGTAGAAAAAGTCGAGCGAGAATTTTTCGTTGGTCGCTAATAAAATTTCTTTTCGACGACGAAGATCTGTGTAAATGACCGCGGCTTCGTGATAATTAAACGACCGCGGAGCCGCGCGGGAGTCGAATGTCGCTGTTCTGCGCGCGTGTAGTTCTGTTTTATGGCCCGCGTAACTTGCAGCTCGCAAATAATGCAATGTTGGATTTTCCGCGAAAACGCAACTTGTCGCGGCTCATGTGACCCGGATCGAACAGACGCATAAAAGCAGGGACTTTATTTACAACTCCACACGGCACGCGGTATCGCAAGGGAGGCATAAACCTCGAGGTTAAAGATCGATGTTCGAGGAGGAAAAGCGTTTCTGTTCCTATTCTGCTCCATTTTTCGTTTCGCAATCTCGCTCGCAAGAAGCGAGCAGATAATAATAAACCAATATATGCAATAAAAATTTAACATAAAATAAAAATATAGTAATAAATTTTCCGCAACTTTATATTTTTAAGTTCAAGGTTACATCGCAAAGATTAGATGATTTTTTTAAATACTTTATTTTGATATATAACCGCGAGAAAAGATATGAGATTGTTTATCTTTCAAAATTGTAACAAATAAACCATAAACTCGTAGTAGCAATATGTAACATAAATAAAGGCCGGAGCGTATCGTTATAAGATTTTATCAAGTATTAAGTTCGATTTACTAAATGTATAATGATGAACAAATGATGCAGTAGATCGGGACGGACAATGTCAGACAAAATCTGGCAAAATTGGAAAATAAAGTTAGAATAATTTAAAGAAATGTCTTTACAGTAACCGATTAGGAGACTAAATTGTGAAAGTTGACTTCTGGATTCTGAGGTTTTTCTGATAAAAGGTGCTACTCTCCTTTTTTTCTCTCTGCGAAACAAAAGCTCTTCCTTTCCCCCGTAAAGTTTCTTTTTCAGACGCGCCGGAAAATAAGCGGCGGCTTTGGGCTGCTTTCGAAATTACCGAAAAGAACTTCCGGGCGTCCAGATTTCAGGTTATTTCGGCCCTCGGCTAAGCCGATCAGCCGTGGAATTGGTTTGCCTCTAAGAGCGGATTGTGATATATATATCCGAAGCACAATGAATTGCGAATAAAAAACCGGATGTTCGATGAATGAGCGGCATGTACATTGAGAAACTTCTTGAACGCGAGGTAAGAGGAGGCACGACAAGAATGATGTCGAGAAAACGAAACGCCCCGCAGAATCTTGATCTCGTGAATAGGAAGGTGAAATCTTTCAACTGTAATGAATCGTGCATTGACGCGAGGAACATAGTATCGAAAGTTAAAGTTAAAGCGTATTTTATACTAAATCAATATTTCAGCGAATGATCGATTTCAAATATTGGTTTTTAGCTAAATCGATAAAGAGCTTATAATTACGTTTGTAAATTAAATCGAGTTTGGCTCAGGATAATGTAACATGTATAAGATTGTTATTTTTATTTGAAATCAAGCAGTATTATCCCTATTAAGTACCGTAATCTATTATGATACATAATTCATGCATAATTTGAAAAAGAATATATTAGCTTTTTTATTTTCATTTGTACTCGTGATTAAATTCTATCACAACGCTCTTTATCATCTCGTTAATTTTTTTTGCTGCGTGATCGGTTCATTACGAGTCCGTTATTCCTCTCATTGAGCTTCAGATCGCGATAAATTAATTATTCCGAAGACAAGTTCTTATATGTACGCTTTCTCGTAATTTATACTCACCAGGAGGTGTCGCACGCATGTGTCAGAGTAAGATATCGCGCTCCCAGACCGTAAAATGTCCTGAGGACACCCAAGGAATTCCCCAGGGAATGACCACCTTCCACTCCGATTAGACTTGCGATCTTGCCTTCTCTATGCGCCTCGATGAGACCTGCGCAAACACCATCACATCATGATTTAATCGAGGATTTAATTAAAAAAATCTCTCGGTGCCATATTCTTTAGTTTACGTTCCACGATAATAGAAAGTTCGTCACATTTTAGCGATTTAATGTTGTAAACGTGAAACTAAAAACTGCGGTAGCGCTATCCACGATGAACTTGCCGAACTGAGAATATTTAAACCTCAGGAAACACCTAAGTACACGAGTTATTCGAGGCTCATCCTCCCGCGGAACTTCGAATCATCTTCGGTGAACTTTGCTCTCGGCCGAATTACAGCTTCTTCCGTGAATCAGCGAAGTTTCGCCCGTTTTTTCGTCGTGCCTGCTCCGCCGGCGCGAGTCTTATAATTTTTCCTTTTTTTTTTTCCCGGGCGAGATTAAAGTGACACTTTATGAGATTAAGCGGAACCGCGGGATCGTAGAATTATGGTGTTCATAGATTATTTATGACCTTCGCCGGGTGAAGAGATCGGACGGAATCTCGGAAAGTCGGTCGCGCTTTAGGCGGATCGGGAATGAATGAAAAGATCGGTAAAAATCGGCTTTCAGATCCGCTTTCGGAAGTGCTTTCAGGAGTGCTGTCGATCGCCTCATTGAAACTTTCAGGCTGCATCGAGACGGCGCCGGTGGGATATTAAAGGCCCGCTGATTTATCGTACTTTATATCGTGTATGTCGCGCGAGTTATTTATTTAACTGCATATCTTGGATTTAAAGTCCGCTTTGCTGCGATATTAAAGGTATACGTATGTATTTCTGTAATCTCAGGATTAATGACGGATTCGTCGGACTCGTAAACTTTTATTATCCTGTTGCTTTCCATTCGTTCGTCAATAAAAATTCTCACACTGCGCTTTTTTTATCGCTACGCACCCACGCCATTTACGATATCTTGTTTATTTTTTTGCGCAGCTTTTGGTAAATTGGTAAATTATTATTGATGCTGGTCAATATAATTATAATTTAATCGAATTTGTAGACCGTGATGGGGTTGCATAAATTTTTATATAGATTAAATCCGAGAATATTGGATTGTAATTAAAAAAACATTGAATAATTACAAACTGCAATAATAAATTAATATTAACCTAAAGTTTTTACGCGCTCGCTTGATTCATCCTTTTATCATGCCATACGATAAGCTAAAGCGTTTTATAGCATTTAATAGGATTTAATATCTTTTATCTTGATACAAGAAAGCCGCATACTCTCTCTTTAGAGTAACGCGCCACTGATCTCGAAAATTAAAAAGCTGTAATCTTCTCTTGTAATTGTTCTCTGCCTTGCTACTTTGAACGAAGCTCGCTTGGAAGCAGCTTGCCTTAAAAAAAAATAAATAAAATGAATCTAAATGAATATATCTCCTGCTTTAACAATTTTCCCGTTTTTGTTATTAATTACTATATTTTACAATAAGCTTATTATTACATAATGTAACATATAAGATCTAATCTGAGATCTAAGGAACATCTAATAGTAAAAATGGTTTAACAAATTATACATTGCACGAGATAATAATATTAAAATATTGATGTAACGAAAAAATAAATTTTTTAGGACTAAATTAACACAAATTATTATAAATAATTTACATTATCAATAATTTAATTTTTTGATTCTGGTATCGATTGTATTAACATGTAACAATTTTTATATGTTTTTATATGAGTTAGAAGAAATTAGAGTGCTGTGAGAAGTATCTTGCTAGTTATTAATTAATAACGTTTTTTTTGCACTTGGTCAAATTCAACGCAACGAATTTTCAAAATTGCAGTTTTTTGTCTGTTTGGGACGCTGTTGTGAGATAGATTCGCATGCACGAGCCGTTGGCTTTTCCACCTTTTACCTTCTTCATACCGCGACCTCGTTTCCACTTCCCACTTGGCGAAGTTTCTCGAGCTTATGAAAATGGCTGACAGCTTTCCGGACCGGGTTACTCGCGGTAAGTTCCACTGCGAGGCTTTCGTTGCGAGGTTGTGCCAGTCCCACACACATTTCTTCACTCGCTCTTCATATTCCCCTTTTCATATTTCAACTGCGTAATTTGATTTCGTATACCTGTCCAATCAACTGTTCATTTGCATAAACATATTCGTCGCGAGAGGATCGAATTTTTCATTACTGGACGATTAACTGTATCTTATCAATCGCAAAAATTGTATCGCAATTTCCAGGATGAAATATTTTGGCGACTAAAGTTTGAACTAAAATTCTATTAAAATAAAGTTTTGTTGTAATAAAAGATTATCTAATTTATTTCAAGTAAATTGTCTTTGCGTCTTTTATTATACAATGTACGCCGTTCGAATTATTTGTTTACGTTTTTAATCATTTTTCGATTATTTATATGCAGCCTTTGTGCAGAAGCTATCGTAAAATGTTACGTTCTTATCTCTTTCTCGCGCGACCTCGATTCGATTTCAACGAGCTTATGAAAATGGCAGTCGGGTTTCTGAAGTGAGTTACTTGTCGCAAAAACTTTCACAAGCTTTCGCGTATATCCTTTCCCGCTGTCCTCTCCTGCTTGGCATTTTCTTTTCTTTTAAGCTATGCGCGCAGTTCGTTCTTTATTTTAGCGCCGCTGTTGCCTCGGTTATATTTTCTCTTTTTCTCCATGAATATATCGTAAAAGTAGCTATTGCATATCGATGAAATTTATTCTCCATTAGTCGATTTCGCCAACATTTCGCAAATTCTCGTTAACAGACGATAAATTGACCCATCAATTTTTAACGGTAAATGAGTTTTCGTTAAAAATAGACGTGGTTCAACCAGTCATCAACGTTAATGGACGTTCCCGAAACAAAAAAAATTTGCATTCAACATTTCGTAATCTTTTTATCTTTTACTGTATTGAGATAAACTTTGACATACCTAATGATAATTCGTAACAGGTTTCTAAAATGTAGTGGGGTGTTAGAGCTTTAAATTATTTTCCTAAATTTGTATAAAATATTTCAAATATGCGCGCAACAAAAATGTGATGATAATTAATTAGTACGTTAAGCAGTTTACTCCTAACATGACAGTGATAATATAAGTTAGTTGGCATTAATTCGTCAAGATTAATTCGAATCCCGAAGTGATAAAGGTCCGTCAATGATCCGGCAGGCATTATCTCAATCTTAATATTCTTATTACGTCGAATACTGTTATGTCTCTGGTGTCTCGTGAATCACCGTCATCGATTATGGCGTGGGCGGTAGCCTAATACTTTTGTCCACTGCTGATAAATCTTCCCTAATACCAAGTTACGCCATTGAATCGAATCCAATAACGACTTTCCTCTTCAACTTCGGAGAAGTCGAGCAATTAATAGCCGGTCCTTTATCCTCTCGAATCGTCCCGATGAGAAACTTTCTCCAAGACCGTCGCTTTCATATCTATTGGTACTACCGGTTACCGCGTTACATTTAATAACATAATACGACGGTCGCAAGAATTCTTTTAATTACAAACGGTAAGGTTCAGTTCAAATAAACCAACGTTGCTCCTGAAGACACAACGTGGATTCTTTTGATAATACTTTAGAGACCCACATTCATTGTACGCGCTTTGGTATTGTTGACGTTTCTACTCAACTCAACGATCCTCGTTTTTCACTTACGTTTGCTTGACACACATCGCATTGTTCGTATAATATCACTAACATTTATTACTGTCATTTATTAATTGGCTAACTATACAATCGTAGTTATAAAATACTTTATAAAGGCAAAAAGGAGATAATTTTACGTCTTTAAAATTGATGATAAAAAATAAACGCGCAGTTCGATATTAGATTAGAATTGCAATTTTTTATACGAATTTAGAAAAGAAATTACTGATATTTAATATGAAGAAATATTATATGTGATGTGATTACTGTCACGTAATATGATGGAAAAATTATAAAATTGTTGATTATTGATCAGTGCTGATGTAATACCCACCTTTGACGGAGGTAACCAGGGTTAAGTGTTGAGCATTCATTTCGGCGAGTCGACGAATTACGTCGATCTGTTCCAGTGAGAGTTGAACTGCGTTTAACTGAGCGGCACCGCAAGGAACGTAGGCGGACCAAAACTGAAAAAAGAAGCAGATTATATTATTAGATTATTTAGAAATCTAGCATTTCTATGAAATTCAATTTAACAAATGTTTTAACACAAAGTCCTTGCGGTATGAAAGTTTCGAATTAAGAAAAAACAACTTTTTTTTCTATTTATATTCTCTTCCATTTTTCTCATGCACAAAATTAATCGATTGAAAATATTTTTCGGAGAGAGAAAATGAAAAAAGGAGAGAGAGGACAATTGGTAGGCTTAATAGTGATATAAAATCTTGATTAAATGGTCAAATCAAATATCGACGGAAGAAGATATCTCAACAAACTTATTTAGAAAAAGGACACTTATTTTTTCCGGAAAAGAGGAAATCTGTCCATATAAAATCGTGTAATTGTTGATTTATTCTCTCTTTTAACTCTCGAATACATTTCTAGGAGCTACATTGCTACAATAAAGCATTGCGGTGGAAGATATCAAATGAAACATTATTAATAGTAGCTCTCGTGTATTTTTTCGCGTGTTCTGATATCGCGTGACTCCGTACTACAAGTGTCGTAATATAGTCACGCCCAATTGCTCACAATGCTTTACGATTGTCGGCGCGATAAACGTTTCATTAACTCTTTACGTTAAAGAATTTGGGTTTTACTTCCGCGCTTAACAGTTGCTTTATCGCGTAAGGAATGTTATTTGAGGTTTCTTGCCGAGAAGGAATTTCACGTGAAATACCGATACTTTTATCTATATCTATCTAATTACTTTGCATAATTGAAAATATGATATTTTGATCGAGAAAGTAAATAATCTTGAGTCTACGGGACCAAATTAATTAAGAGAGAATTTAATGTCTTTAATTGTATGCTAAGCAGTCTCTTTTGTATATTTTGCTTATAAAAGAAAGTATATATATACAAAAAGTTTAGCATTCTAGGTCGATATTGATCGAAGAAAAAGTAATTAGTGTACTGAAATTAAGATTTTCCTTCGATAAAATCATCGTAAATCGTGTTTTCAAAGTTACATCGATTTTAAACTTTGCTTGCACCAGGCGAAATGATCTAATTCCCGCGTGTTTACTTAATTTACGCGTAAACGCTCAGCCTCGAGTTAAGCGTTCACGCAGTTCGGCAAATGTTGAATTCCTGGAGTTCGATCGAGCATTCGATGTGTCGTCGTCGAACGTAATCGAACGTCAATATCGGGAAGGAGGCACGCAGGGCAGCAAGTTGCTGGAATACGGCATTCAGCCCGAATTTCACTGCGCTCTCTCGTAGAGGCTTTGAGAGAGCTAGCGTTACCAATTACTCGGCGGTCTAATTAACACTGAGTTACCGCGCGCACTGGCGTAAATATTGAATTTCAGTTCCGGGTATAGTCTAACGCGATTGGCATCCTCGATTCTCGCGCTGCCATGGCGGTCCTATTCCGACATCAACGTTATTATACTAATCGCATGACATGGATGGGCAGGATGGCGTGCGTTCGGATAGCGAGGGATAAAAGAAAGCTGGAAAAGCGGAGAGAAGGTAGATAGGGAGAGATGAGAGACGAATCGTCACGGAAGTCTCATGCAACTCAAACGAATTCTCTTTCGACTGCAGGGGAAATCGGAGCTATCGTCTCGGCATGTAGCGTTTCACGAACGGTCTTTTGACGCTCGCATTTATCGCCGATAGTATATATAAACGCGTTCTATGTACACTTCCGCGTGACGTTACGAACAGAGAGACGCATTTATATTTTCTCGCTATTGACTGTGTATTTGAAGATACTACATGCGCGAGGGTTACATTATTCTTCTTGTTGTTAGTGAATTGCGCGAGATCGTGACAATCGTCACAAATACTCGATGTTCGTATAGGATCCTAAACGCATATGATTTATTGCTCTTGGTAGGCAAGTGAATTCTCACGGGCTATGTGAATTCAAATAATTTATAGTATTTTGCGCGTAATTTACACGGAGTGCGGATGCGCGTGACACGCGTGTAGACATCTTTCCGGCACATCGCGCGGCAGATGCGCGCGATAAAGGGTTATTCGTCACGGCGAAATAGACGTGGGGACGCTAATAATCTGACGCCGCTAACTGATGGAGTTTAGCGTTGCAAACAGCGAGCAACAGCGAGCAGAGGGCGGATCTGACGTTCCCTATCTTCCGGACGACCCCCGCGTCGCTGTAGATCGCGCGCGCGGACGATCGCATGGCGAATCGCAGTTAATAATGATATCGCGGGGGCGGGGGGTATGCGGCAGATAAAGCCGTCCGACCGGAAAGCTACGTGCCTTCTTGCAGAAGGAAAGCAGATAACACTGACGAGACGGGGGGGGAGGGAAGGTAGTTCAAAACACGCGACGGCTGCCAACGGAATATCCGCTCGATAGCGGTGCAACGTTTTGAGAAATCCAGGGCGGAAACGTATTTATCGAAGAAAACGTATCTTGAGAGCGTCAGCGTGAACTCGGGATGAAGGATAAACAACGACGCGCGTTAAATGGAAGGCGTTTTGCTGTCGCTTCGCGGAATAGCGTCAAATTTTACAGACGTAATTGTGTCAATAAACACCACGGATACTCGAATTTATAGTTGTAAGTTGTAACTGAGAAGAACGGTGCACGTGCATCTCTTCAGGCACTCATACTTTACTGTCAACATGTACATATAAAAGAGTCAGCTAAGTGCCATTGCTACTTACGAAAGTATAGTAACAGATTTTCATCTTTAGCACTCTCAGAGACCTTTTTATTATTAATCAGTTCAACTAATTCTAGACTTGCCACTTTACATGCTGTTAGTTAAATCTGCCAAAAACTCGGCAAATGCACGCTGCTTGCTTTATCCACCACGTACGAGAAAATCATAATACATATTCTCTTTGCGAAGGTGACGTCGCGCAGTGAGGGAGCTCTCGAAAACAAAGACGCTTTCAATGCGTTTCGCGTGCAAGTGTACTCACGATCCGTGAGAGTTCTCTCGTTTCGTATTCCTTCGAAATAGCCTTTTCCCGACGACGAAAATCATTTTCTTGCGCCCGAAATAGCCCGCTCCAACGGGCGGGCTTCCGTTACGCGCCGGAAGGTAGAGAGAGAGAGAAAGAAAGAGAGACAGGTGGTAAGGATATAGTTTGGAGTAAACAACGACGGTACGGGGTTGCTAGTCCAGCGCGGCCAACTTCGTGGATGGAGCTTTCGTCTCGCTGATTGTCTTTTATCGCCGTTCTCTCGTTGCAAACTTCGGCAATCTTTTCGCGGTCACGGTACTTTCTCCGCGTTTTCGACGGAAGTTAAGGGGCGGAAGAGGGTGGTAAAGGATGGGCAGGGGGGAGTACTAAGCGGGCAGGAACTCGGTTTCCGTCCCTGTATGCGCCCCAACGAACTGAGAAGAAATGGAATTTCGTCGCGCTCCCGCTGCGGGGAATTTGTTCGTAAACAGGATTGCCATTGTTAAGGATATCTACCTATCTACGTACCGTGAAGTTCGCATCGCGCACGAACGCGAAGTTTGAGTGGCTCGACCCGAAGAAACCGGTTTACTGCCGCAACGAATGCGCCTCGATACACTCGCCCTCGCGAATTACACGGCGTTTCCTTGTTTCGTTATGTCGTTTTTACCGCTATACTTTCTGGACGATAGCTCGAGGGGGTGGAAAAACGGGTAAAACTGCTGTACGGCTCCTTTTTTTAGTCGTAACGGTCCTTACTTGTATTTTTGTAGAGGTAAACGGAGTGAATTTTCTTTTGGCAAAGGTTTGCTCTAAAAACTAAAACACTTCATCTCGCTGTCATTTTCATATGGAAATACGGTGATACTAATAATGCTCTGTATATTGTGTATTCATATGGAATTTATTCGTAATGAATTTATCATACGGTTGAACTCAAATTAAAATTCTATGGAAATAAAATTCCACCACCACAAATAATTGAACATACAATATCGCAAAGGTAATAATAATGTCGTCATAATTAATGCTATTTATTATGTTATCTCGTTTTACTATTTTCATATTATTTTACGAATGTGTAACCATAAAATGTTAAACAATGTTTATCGGTAATTCTAGCGCCGTAATTCCAAGCGCAGGACTCATTTTTATCCATGAGTATCGAATTATCGATACTCTTTATCTTGCCGCGAATAAAATTTATATTTATAATTACTAATGTCTAGTACCATATTGTATCTGATTTTTCACATTTATGTACAATCTTTTGATAATATCGATAAAACCGTATTGACAGTAGATTAGGTATCCTTGAGTCAGAATATAATTGATTAATTGCCATTAATTAATTGATGTGAGAGAGCATTTATTGGCGGATTATGGCGAATTCAAAATACCTCATCAGTTCATGCATCGAAATTAATCGGCTAATCATTAATAACATGTTTCATAATTAACAATAAAGCCATGCTACGTGTATATTTGATCGACAATTGCAATAGGATCTATAAGACTAGTCCAGCTTATTAATTAGAAATCATGTGTTAATGTCCAAAGTTCAATATATCGTATATAACATTATTGCAGGAGACATGTATCTGCTTTTATTATCTAGACATTCGCACTTTTTATTATAATAAATATATTATTCTTAAAAAGAAAGAGAGAGATAGATCTGCGCATTATGATTAGTTTCTTTTTCTTAAAACAAATATTCCAGAGAAATTGCATTGAAATAAAATTGGAATACTTTCTCATATGATGTCTGTCATACTTTTTACGTTTGTTGTTATAAACTAATTTTGATTTTACCGCGTCAGTTTCGTGTAGTTTAAAACAAAAATTGCTGATTTGTTAACTAGCATGCAGCAACCAATGTCCTTTGTAAGCGCGGATCCATCGTGTCTCATCAAAACGCAGTTAGTAAAATTTTTGTCGCTTGCGAAAACTTTTCCGTCAACTACCTCGCGATTCCTGGACGCTTTTCTGCATCGCTCCCGGTTTGCGGCGCTTTTTCGCGGCGCTTTCTTCTCAGCTTCCCGCAGAAAACGTGCGAGAACCATTTCGCCACC